ATTTAATTAAACCTAATTTCGCGTTCACTGTAAACTGTGTGTACTGTATTGTTTACTAAAGCCGACTCACACTTGGCCGTTTATCGAGTTAGGTTCTAATTAAGGTATACATTTGTTAAATATTTGCATTTCACAATAACATTCGACATTTTTCTCCGCACACATCAGCCTTGCTAGATCATATTGACAAACAATTTACTGTTTGTTAAGATAACCCGAAGGCTTTTCGGGGTCATACAAGTATTTAAAGCAAAATTATCACACTTTATAATACGTAAACAAATATATACTAATGTGGAAAGCTGAAGAGTTTGTTTGTTTGAACGCGCTAATCCCAGGAACGACGGGTTCGAATTGGAAAAATCTGAAAATTAAATTAATCTGCGAACAATAGGGGCGAAGCAACAGCGGGAAATGTGAAGAAAATGGAGAATAAATACTTGACGTCTAGGAGGTAGCAATGTATTGCTAATAAAAACGAACCGTGGGTTCGAACCCCACCACTGTAACCAGTCTTTATGAATATTAAGTTGAAGAGCTTGTTGGTATGTCTGAATTTTTGGGTTGGCAATCTTTGGGTCTTGTTGAAAAATTGTGTCGTTTTGGTTAGAGTATTTATGGAGGAAGGCTATAGAGTATTTGAAAACTTTAATATTTTGTTCATGTAAAGATATTCTTGGAAATTTTACCTTCGTTGATTTTCTTAAGCTGCAAAGCAAGACATTGGACCTTAAGAAGCAAGTGGTTGAAATTACATTGCGAGAGCGGCGCGTGTATAGGTTGAAAAAACTCGACGATGTATAGACTCGGTAGCTCAATTGCTTTCAGCGACAGCACACAGTTTTAATCTAAAATCGATTTGTAAATTTATATAACGCCAACATGTGAAAAATAATAAGTTTTCAAACATTAGTATGATAAAAAATTAACTAAAACCGCATTTGTTAAACTAGTTCAAATGAAGATTCAATACTGACTGTAGTTTACGCGAGTAGTACACATTTAAATAAAACACTTTAACGGTCTAAAACGCGATTTATTTTAGGTCAACTTGTTAGAAAATTATTTCGACTTACGGCCCCTGTCTCCCCGTGACCACTGCAAAGCATCCGAAACGTCGGGCCGTAGTTAAAAATAATTTTCAAACTAGTTTAACTAAAGTATATCGCGTTTTAAACCGTTAAAGTGTTTTATTCAAACGGAGGTTTAATTCTTGTGAAAAGTACTGAAACGAGAATAGAATTGATACAATTACTGTTATGTCATTGAATTGAAATTATTGTTGTATTGACTATTCTTAGCTCGAAGTTACCGTGGCCTACACTGGTCGTCTTTGTGCTCCTCTGCGCAATGTATTTTCAACCCTAACACTTACGTATTAAGGTCATTAGTAGTTTTCCGGGGCATGGGGCGTAGACATTTATTTGCCCACTAGCTGATTTCATTTGCCGGCGTATAGATCACTAGCTGTGCCACCATTTTTAGATTATTTAAAGAGAAATTCTTTCATACAGATATATATTTTTTTGGGCGTCTTAAACCGTTTTCGCAGCGTACGCTTCTGAATCCAACATAAATGAAAATTTTCCCCCGTTTTGTTCACATTTCTCGCTGTATCTTCGCTCCTATTAGTCACATCGCATGTGTTATAGCCTATAACCTTCCTCTATAAATGCTCTAACCAACACAAAAAGAATTTTTCAATTCGAACTCGTACTTCCTGAGATTATCGCGTTCAAACAAACACACAAACAAACTCTTCAGCTTTATATATTAGTATAGATAGATAGATAATACTGGCCCTCAATCGGCCGAAACTGCTTCCCGGGTATTCAAACCCGCGTGTTTAGTCGATTCAAATTCCAAGTCGGTTAATTTCGGTCTCGTTGAGAATGTGTCACTGACTTATAAACGTGCAAGTAATGTTAATCTGTGCCCTGTACGCACCATTTATTGTTTCCTCGGGTCCCGCTTCACGCAACGTTATGCGACATAGAGGCTGTTAGTTTGTCGATATTAAATAAACCGCTTTTAACAATTTAAAACTGGATATATATAATCGTTTTTCTTTCAGCTACGGCTGCTGTATAAACATCGTATTAAAATATGTTACATAATGAATTATGCGTTTTGAACCGTTGAAAGTGTTTTATTTAATATGTACTAGTTACTTGCAAAAATTACTGAAAATTCTAAGCGTACCGTGTATAGTTTCTATCTAGTGTGTAGTAAGTGTACTTTCGTGTGATTTTAACTTTTTATTGAAGTTATAACAATGATTATGTGCTGTAGTATTTTTTCTATTTCTGTCTGTCTGTTTTCTCATAATTAAAACCAAGCAATTTATTAATAATTTAATGATAATAAAAAAAAAACATAAATACTTGTCTTAAGAAATCAGGTTTCTAGAAATCTAGAAAATACAAAGAAACACATTTAATACAGTTTTTCGGTCTGTTCGGCCGTCGTGAGCGAGAGTTTCTCGACGGTTCGCCATCACGAGCGGACGGCGTCATTAGGAGATGTTAACTCCTCGATTGCTGAGAACCTCTTCTCGCTCACATCGGCCGAACAGGCCGAAAGACGAATACGCTGAAGGATGGCCGTGAAAGCCTTACACAATTAATTAAAAATACTTATTAATAATTATTTCGTGTATGTTTGTTCAACAAACACATTTATTATGTACATCTGCTTTACAGCCAAACTGTACAAATATATGTATTTTCATGAATTTATTGTTCAAATAATAAGTGAAACATTAAATAAATAATATTTAAATCAGCTTTAATAATATAGCATATTGTCTGTTGTTTACGCATTTAAATGAAACACTTTTATTCAGTTTTTAAACGCTACATATTGCAGTAAAGTTTTATATATGACCCGACGTTTTTGGACGCTTCCAGTTGCTATGGTAACATGAGGACTAAGTGATGGAGAGAATCCCGTTGTTAAAAATATATAAAACTGATATACCGAAGTAATGTCTGTAGTTTACGCGAGTAGTTAGCGTTAAAATAAAACACTTTTAACGGTTCGAAAGAAGAAATATATTACCTAAGTTATTTATTTATTTATTTTCTTTACAGCCCCCCGTTTTCGATCTTTTGCAATAGACGTGGTCCCGGGGGGAATTAAAAATAGAGAGCATTCCGTAATTAGAATAATATAAAGAACTGTAACTTCGCGAGTAGTAAACATTAAAATAAAACACTTTTAACGGTTGAAAACGCGAAATATACTGGGGCACTTATTCTTCATTTATTTTAACTACGGCCCGACGTTTCGGATGCTTTACAGCAGCTGTCGTCACAGGGTACTGAAAATGAACGGTCAAAATGTCGGACCGTAGTTGAATTAAATATAATATTTTGCTTTTAAATAAGACATTATTAAAGTCATATATTAGCTAAACTCGTTTGTTATTTATATATCGCGTTTTAAACCGTTGAAGTGTTTTATTTTAATGTGTACTACTCTCGCATACTACAGACAGTATACTTTGCGTTGTAACGAACTTTGCGGAGTGTTTTATTTAACGAGAATAATTTTATGTAATATTTATTTTTTCGTAAATTTAATATATATTTTAAGTAACTTTACAGCGCGGATGGAAACTTTTGTACCATTATTCTGTTTAATATATCGTAAATTTATTTTAAACAGGGACAATTTATGGCTTTGTTTTAAACAAACATAAACTACCGTATAAATAACTGACAATTACCAACAGTACAGTGACAATTACAAAGACAAGACTCTTACGACATACAATAAAAATAATAATAAATTAAATTCATAATTACACACATATTTTTTATGTGTAACTAAATTTAATAGACGACAATTTGTATGTTAGAAGGCAGAATAAAAATCGGTGAAAAACTTTTAAATTAAACGGTTTAATTTTTTGTGCACTGATAATTAATAATAATTGACATAATCATCGTGTTTTAATAGTGTTGCCCTTTCATTTGATACCCATATTGAGAGGGTTAAGGAAAAATTTGTAATCCGCCATTTTGCATCGGCGGCCATCTTGGATTAAAAACGTTATTGATTTTATTATATTGTATTGTCATCTAAATTAAATGTGAGTACCAAATTTTAGATCAATCGGACAACGGGAAGGTGCTTAAATTTCAACTTCTAATTTTGACCCGAATAAATAAATTCCGTACGTGTCGAGCTAAATAAAACCGTTTAAAAACATAGAGTTTACTTATAAAATGCCCAACCATGTAATATTGAAATAGGATGTGCTGACGACGATTAGGAACTCTTCAAACTGAAAACGAACTGAATTATAAATAAACTAAAAATACCGGTTAAGTTCGAGTTAGTATCTCGCGTGAAGAATTATGTGCTATTGGACTTTCTTTCTTGGAAGTCCCCCCTCTTTTTTTTTTTTTTCATTGGAAGACCCAGTCATATATAGCTGAAGGGCTTGTGGTTTGAATTAAAAAATTACTTTTGTGTTGGTTAGAGCATTTACCGAAGAAGGCTATAGGCTAAAACATCGCGCTGTGACTAATACAAGCGAAGATGTAAAAGAAATGAGAAAATTTTTCATCATTATGGATTTCCGAGGCGTACGCTGCAAAAACGGTTCAAGATACCAAAAAAATATGTATTAGAGAATAATTTCTCTTTAAATGATCTAAAAAAAAGTCCACGACGCTGTATGTCTATCTTTTAAGATTAACTTGCTAGAACGACGGGAAGGGATGCAACCGACGTCGTGATGACAGCTTCAGTTTATAAATATGAAGGGGTTTGCAAAAATGAATTTGGATGGTCAAAGCAACGATTCTCGCGGTCGAAGTCTCTGACAAAGACACAATTATTAGCACGATACGCTGTCATCCTATTTCGGCTTTGGATATTTGGAAATACACTCACTGAAATTTGAAGCGCAATAAAAAAAATCTGTTTGTATTTTTTAGTGTGAAAAACGAATGTTTCTTTCTCTCTAAAACCCAGTTTCTCAATTCCAGGTGTTCGAGTGGGAGCAGAGCGTTCGTGACACTATCCTTTCGTCCTTTTTCTGGGGCTACATCGTCCTTCAGATACCAGCTGGTATGCTTGCTGGCAAATTTGGGGGGAAGATGCTGATCTTCGTGTCTATGTTGATTACTGGAATTATTAACCTCTTCACACCACTGTTAGCGACCCAGGCAAGTATTTGAAGCTTCGAGTTGACGCTGACGATGCCGGTACATTCCTGCCCGAGTCGAATTTTAAAGAATTTATTTTCGTTTTTTTATCTATAGAGATAACATGGTTAATTTGGTGGATCGTGAAGTGCCCTAGTTCTATCACCAAGATGTGTTGTTGACACATTATGGTTTTGGATATTTGGAGATCCACTTAAGCCGAACGGAGCCTCTCAGATTCACTGACATCAGGGGGTTTCGACTCTGGACGGTGGTGTGACCTGGACGGAATTTCGATTTTTCTCCTCATTTAATATCTATTGGTATATAAAGATACAATTTTAATGATAATAAATAAAGATGGTAGAACTGGGTGCAACCGACACCACCACCTTCTGATACAGCTGGGTCCGTTAAGGAGTATATGTTGTTAAATATTGTCTGTATCTACACTCGAACGTTATGCAATGAAGAAATCATTTTTAACGATTTCAACGCAACGCGAAATATTGACCGTTTGACAGCGGCTGTTCCTAGGCTTAAGTTGCTTTTTGATTCAAAACGTTGAAAGTGTTTTATTGAAGTCCTTAAGCGTGCACTCTTCAATTACTTACAAATTCGTAAGACGGAGAGAAGATATTGTTGTCTTCTCTCCGTCTTATAGTATATAAGTTAAATACTGTCTATAGTTTACGCGAGTAGTACACATTTAAATAAAACACTTTAACGGTTTAAAACGCGATATATGTGTTAAACTTATTTGAAAATGATTTTTAACTTCGGCCCGACGTTTCGGATGCTTTGCATCAGCCTCGGTCACGGGGAGCCTCCCCGTGACCACCGTTAAAGTGTTTTATTTAAAAGTATATAAGTTGTCATATATCTGTACGATAGCACAATAAATGAATATTGTATGTTAACATATAAATGATAGAAACTCCTAAAATAAGTTAGGGAATTAACGATTTTTTTTAGATTATTTCTAGAGGAATTATTCTTTTTTACACTTATAGTTATTTTTGCTAATCCGTTTTTTTTTGCATTTGCCATTCTTTCTTTGCTCTTATCACAGCTTGATGTTGTATATCCTAAATCTTCTTCGATAAATGTCCCAACCAATACGAAAATAATTTTCCAACTCGAACCAGTAGTTTCTGAGATTAGCGCATACAAACAAACTCTTCAGTTTGCAATATTAGTATAGTTACACAAAGTTAATATTAAAATTTTTCTTTTATGCTGACGCTACAGTTTTTTTTTCCAGGGTGACTGGATAGCAGTCTGTGTTTGCCGGATCCTGATGGGCCTCGCTCAAGGTCTACTTTACCCCAGCATTCATGGAGTAATTGGACAATGGGCCCCCCTATCAGAACGAAGTCGGATGGGGACTATAGTTTATTCCGGTAAATATTGAATTTAAATACTGGTCTATAGTTTACGCGAGTGGTACACATATAAATAAAACACTTTAACGGTTAAAAACGCCATATATTAGTTAATTACTAACCAATATATTGAGTTTTAAACCGTTAAAGTGTTTTATTTAAATATTGAATTTCCCTAGCATTGGATGAGGGATTTCTAGGTTTGAATCCTGGAGAAAAACTATCTGTTTGTCCACGATCCAATTTTAAATCATTAAAATAAAACACTTTTAACCGATTAAAACGAGAATATATCAGTTAACTTCATTTTGATGACTCTTAACTACAATTTGCAAACAGCACCAGAACGTCGGGTCATAGTTTGCATACAATTATAATAAGACATATTAATATGACGCATTTCATCCCGTTTATAGTGTTTTATTTCAATGTGTATTCTTGTTTATAATACAAATAACAACGGATTAACTTCCACATTTCTAACTATAGTGGATTCGAGACCTGTCTGTTGGTTTTGTTTTTAATTATTTAATTTTTTTCTTTAGGATCTCAACTAGGTACCATTATAGAGATGATGGTGGCCGGCTGGTTATCTGAGAGCATTTGGGGATGGCCTTCCGTCTTTTACATAGCTGGTGTGACGTGTCTGGTCTTCTCTGTTTTATGGTACATTTTCGGGGCATCAACACCTGGTACCAGCAGGTGGATCTCCAAAGAGGAGAAGAAATTCATCGAACTAAGCGCTGGTGCGACAGATATAAGCGAACAAAAGGTGCTATAACTATCATGAGTGAAGAATTCTTCACAGTTTTAAATAGATACGTTAAACTTTTAACGGTTCAAAACGTGTAATATGCTAGTTAAATTATAATGTAACCAGTCCTCAGTGAAGCATATGAAATTTCGCTTTTAACTTTGACATTTGGGACACCTTCCATCGTTACTCGCCCATGACAACGGCTCTAGAAAAGCATTGTAAACATTGGGCCGTATAATATTCAATGGCAATTCGTGGCTTATGTTTCACTTCTTATATACAATTGGGTCGTGGGTTTGATTCCCATCGGATATACCAGCATATTTAAGAATCATGGTGATCAAATATTATCTCTAGTATACGCAAGTAATCCATTTAAATAAACCCCTTTCAACGGTTTACAACCCGGATAAATTAAATTATTTTTACTGCATTATTTAGAATTTATTTTTACTGCGACCCCTCTTTCGGATGTTATTCAGCAGCCGCGGCCACGGGGGGAATGAATATGGAGAGCATCCTAAACGTCAAAGTCGAAACTGCTACATTAGCGTTTTGGTATCATTCATTGGAGTTATAAATATTCCGAAATAAGCCGACAGCGCATTGTAGCTAGATCTTCTATCACTAATGTTTGCCAATATACGCTTCAGAAAGTCGCAACTCCTTGGAAGGATATCTGGACGTCACTACCGTTTTGGGCGATACTGCTCGCGCACTGTGGACAAAGTTTGGGATTCTGGACACTCCTGACCGAAATGCCTTCGTACATGGACAAAGTGCTGGGTGTCGCTATTAAAAACGTAAGTATTTCTCTATTAATACTAGCTGTGCAAGCGACTTTGTCCGCAGTGCAAACCCTCTCTTCATTTTTGTAAATCATAGCGGTTACCCACGACGTCGGTCGCTCGATGTCGTTCTTGCAAGGTAACCTTAGAATATAGAAATATTGTATCGCGGATTTTTTTTTATTTCAAAAAGTAATCATTCTTCCATACATATTTTTGGAGGATCTTGCACCGTTTTCGCAGCGAATGCAACAAAAGCCAACAAAGATGAATATTTTTCCCCATTTTCTCCACATATTCCTCTGTTTCTTTGCTGCTTTTAGTCACAGCGATGTTTTATAATCTGGCTAAGGCCAAACCTTCCTTGATATATTCTCTAACCAACACAGAAATAATTTTTCAATTCGAACGCGGTAATCTCGGCAACTACTGTTGCCGAGATTACCGCGTTGAAAGATTTCTTGTTTGCATCTTGTTCTGAGAACTAGTTACAGTATTAACCATACTTATAGTGAGCACGTAGAAAGGAACTTAAACATGACGTTTTTGATCTAGCCGCGTGGGGTTCTCTTGATGTAATCATGTGAACAAGATACAGTGTCGATCTATTTTGGCTTTGGATATTCGGAAATTCACAGACTGGGACGATAACGCGATAAATCTTGACAGCTTTAAATACTGTCTATAGTTTACGCGAGTAGTACACATTTAAATAAAACACGTTACGGTTTAAACGTCCGAAACGTCGGGCCGAAGTTAAAAATCATTTTCAAATAAGTTTACTAATATATCGCGTTTTAAACCGTTAAAGTGTTTTATTTAAACTTGACAGCTTTTTCAACTATCTCTTTAATATCCAGATTTCCAGACGAAGTCTAGCAAATTTAAAAAAATAAATAGAATTGAATCATGTTGCCTCCTTTGTTATAATTGTCTAATGGTAGCAATGTATTGGTTCCATCCACACCGGGTCCAACATGCTTCTAATTTTTTTATCTCAAAAAATGATATATATTCAAATTTCATCCGGCTCAGGAATCACCGTCCACTGATGAAAGAGCCGTAATTTTATTCGCGTCAAAAGTCTGTGGATTTCCGAATATCCAAAGCCAAAGTAGATCGACAACACATCCTGTTTAGATGTAATATTGGGTATTTCATCTACCATCACGCGAACCCCACTATCCATAGCTACCATTCAGCCAATGAGCCGTGTAGCTGTCCTATGTTATAAACTTATGTCAATCATCTTTAATTGCTGTTCATCTTTTCTCTTTTCATTTTCAGAACGGCATCTATTCAGCTCTACCATACTTGGCCATGTATATCCTAAGCTTCGTCTTCAGCTGGAGTGCTGATTTCTTGATAAACAGAAGCATCCTCTCACATGGAACAACAAGGAAGATCTTCAATACAATTGGTGAGATTCCATCTATACTAAGATATAAAGGTGAAGAGTTTGTTTGTTTGAACGCACCAATCTCAGGAACTACTGGTTTGAATAGAAATGCATTAACACGACTTCGCCCACGTGTACCAATGAAGTCGTGGGATCAGTTAGTTAAGTTTATGCACGATAGCGTAATAAATGAATATTGTTATGTACAATGCAAACTTAGCCAAATACGTTGACAGCGCTTCTTTTGAGATGTTATATGCTTAAGGTATTCCACCTTACACCAAGTGACCATTATGCTTTTCAATTCGTGCAGAATTATTCCCCAACCAAGCACAACGTTAGAAGTGAGATTGTAGAGTGGTGGGTCTTAGCCATTAAATGGTTATAAGACATGCGCCCAGCAGTGGCATCTAAAAGTTAATGTTTGATTTCAGCTTTTTGGGGCCCAGCTGCTGCTCTCTTGGGCTTGTCGTACATCCCAGCTGGGCACGTTCCTCTGGCCGTTGCTATGCTGACTGTCACTGTGGGATTGAATGGCGCACATTATGTTGGGTTCCTGGTGAGTGAGTCTTCTGATCCTACTTAAACCGTATAATACGGGGTCATGAGCAGGTTCCCCATGACCACGGCCACTATAAAGCTTCCGCAGTAATTGACGCCTTTTAGTTGCCGTGGTCATGTGGAATTAATTGACTTATAAGTTTCGTTTTAAACTGTTAAAAGTGGTTTAAGTTCATACGTCATAAGCATTCGCTTAAAGTATTAAGTACAATCTAGCTTCTTACTCATTTATTATCTCGGTGTCTGTGTAATCGGGTTATCGGATAATTGCTTCCCCGGTATTCGAACTTAGGTCATCTTACACTTAATGAAATCTAGATATTAAAAAGGTTGTAGAAATATTGAAATACCGTCAAGTCACAAGACACCGTCGACAGATGAAAAAGCCGTGAAGTTTAATCGCGTTTCGGTACAGTCTGTGGGTTACCGAATATCCTAAGCCAAATAGATTGACAGCACATCTTGATTAGATGTTGTACGGCTGGCCTATTTCACCTACCATCAAGAAAACCCCGTTTTGTCCTCGTGTCATATTTGTTTTTTTATTTCAGATTTCCCACATTGACCTGTCTCCAAACTTTGCCAGCACCCTGATGGGGATCACCAACGGATGTGGAAATATCTTCTCCATCATGGCGCCACTAAGTGTAACCCTCGTTGTAAAGGATGAAGTAAGTGTACAGATCCAGTTCAGACCGCATTTGAACAGCATAAATAGATATGTAGATAACTTTATTATTTTTCATATATCATTGAGAATGTTACCGCAATTTTGAAGTTTACTAAATTGAAATAATGAAACAGTTTAAAACGCGCAATATATTAGTCACTATATTTTTATTTTAGTTAATGACCGCATCTGTAGCCAAATGGTTAAACATATTAATATACAACATAAGCGCGAGAGGTCCTCGGTTCGAATCCCAGGAAAACAAAAAATTCTTTCGGTCAGGCAGGGCACAGAAGTCTGATCAACTACTTGCCTGTTAAAGAACGGATCAATGAAACGGACACAGAAATGTTTTCGCCCCATGGCCCGCGAGGGGGAAACGGGATTTCACACACACGCGCACACATATTTTTATTTAATTTAACTACGTACCGTCGTTTAGTAGCGAAGCAGACATTAGGGACGCACGTCATCTAGTCCAGACGTGACCACGGTTGCAACAAGTATCCGAAATGTCGGGTCATAGTTAAATTACATTTAAATATCTTAATATTTCGCGTTTCAAACCGTTAAAAGCTAAAACTAAAACCAATAAGTTTATATATGTTACTTAACAGTTAATTTTTAAAACCGTTAAAAGGGGTTTATTCAGGGTGGCTAATCAATAGACACATCTTTTTTCCAGCACTCGGCGTCAGAATGGCGGAAAGTCTTCTTCCTCTCCGTCGGTTTCTACTTCTTGAGCAACCTGTTCTTCTTGTTGTTCTACTCCGGGACGATTCAACCCTGGAACGAGCCCAAACTCAAGAGAAATATTGGTTAGTATTACATAAGATCAACTTCGGTTGAATGTTTAGCGTAAAATTAACCAGCGAAACGGGCATACAATTGTGTCCGCTCCATAAGGTAAACTTATATTTTTATAATGCATTGCATTGGCGCTGGGTTAAATCCTGGGGGAAACAGTATTATTAGCACTGTTTCCCCCTAGTCAGGCAGTGCACTAATCAGTGACTTGGCTGTAAATAAAGAAGTGTAACGGTCACAGAAATATGTCCGCCCCATGCCCCACAGGGGCTATCGGAAATGGACTATATAAAAATACAAATTATATACAATCAACTTTGAATAGGTTACTTTAACATTTCATAACTTATAAATAAAAAAAATTAACTGTTTAAAATGCGAAATGTATTAGTTACTTTGTAATGTATGTGCCTCCGTGACCTTGGATGTTGCGAGCTACAGACACGTTGGGCCGTAGTTAAAATAAAAAAGATAAATAATATATTACGCGTTTTAAACCGTTAATAGTGTAAAATATAATTGTGTACAACGCGTAAGAGTATATTTTATTACTTATAATAAGAATTTAGAGTAATTTTAAACAAGTTTTTTTTATTACTTAAGCGTTATAATTTATTTATTTGTCACTGACAGACAGATGGATAATTCTTTTTTATTTTATATATATAACTATTAAAAATAATAGTGTCCAAATCTAGCTTAGATTTATGATCGCGGAAGTTAGGTAAAGGCTAAAGTTACACCTGTCGCATTTATAATTTTTTATATACTAGATAACCTTTGACAAGATCACAGATAATGTTTTTATTTATGACCGCTTCCTTAGACAACTAGACATAAAAGTAAGTCTCAGGTTTGAATCAAGAGAAAAAATTAAAAAAAAAACAAGTGGTTTCGGACATTTTAAACGCAGGATAGAATACCGCCAGACCCCATTTCGGGGATACGGCATTTCTTTTATATAAGAAACAAAATTGACGGTTTAGAACGAGAAATGTTTTCGATTTGTCGATCAAATTTAAACTACGATAAGACTGTATACTCCCAGATCCTATATTGGGGAAATCCATTTTTTTTATAACACACTTTCAACGGTTTAAAACGAGAAATGTAATTGATTAGTTAATTGAATTTAAAAAAATAACAGTAGCTCTTTCTATACTAAAAATTAATATACACATATATTTCGCGTTTTTAAACCGTTAAACGTGTTTTATTTAGTGGGTACCTTGTTAATTGAAGTGTTTTGTTTACAGAGGACGGTATGAACGAAAAAGAAGATAAGACATCTAACGAAATGAAGAGAATCGGAGACGAAAAGTTATAGATGGCGTTTTTTTAAACACATCAACCTAGTCATATTTGTACAAATAACGAAAGCTGTGTTACTAAGAATTACCAACACGACGATTGGGGGGTGCGACCGGCGACGCGATCGGCGACGCGAACTGCGACCATTAGTGACTTTGCAGCTTTTATTTTGCTAAACGTATCGCCGGTCGCCGCTGATGGCTTGATTAGTACATTGCTATACAGTCGCAAGACTCGAGAGATCGCTTCGGCGAGTCTTCCAAGTTATTCACAAGTATTAATTTATTCTTTCATATCACAATCTAAAGTCGAATGCAAATAACGTATATCTAATTCAAAAGCTATTTTCGTTTGACGCAAATAAAGGACCGGTTTTAGGGGGCGCAACCGGGGCTTCTGGAGCTTGGCTTTTACAAAGGCCAAAATCAAAATAAAAAAGAAAATATCAAAAAAAAAGTCTTCTTATATTTTTTTTCAATTTAAAACTGTCTTTAGTTGCACAATATATTATTTAAGTCCATTTATTTTGGGGCCCCAAGCCGCCAGACCTCTAAATGTGGCCCTGTCTTTTAATAAAAAAAACAGAAATTCTTACAAAGATTTTGTTTTATGCATTGTAGACAATAATTTTACATAATATGTATAACCTTTGTATTTATAAGATAGGGTACAAAACTACTTATCAATTCGGCTTTCGCGGCCTTTTAAGCCATAAATGTTTTCCTACCGGAAATTATTTACCAATGATGTAGGAAGGAGAATTGTATATTTATTTATATTTAAATAAAACACTTTGACTGTTTTAAACGTGAAATATATTAGTTAAACTTATTTGAAATTTATTGCAACTACGGCCCGACGTTTCGGATGCTTCGTAGCAGCCGTGGTGACGGAGAGAATAAAATAATTTCGTTTCACTACTCTCGTAAGGTACAGACAGTATTTATTTATTTATAGTTTAATAGGAGTTTATAATCGAGGAACAAGTGATGTTAAATTTTAAAAGTATTGTATAAAACTTATTGCAAATAATATCTGTATATAGATTAAAATTCAATTTCAGATAGGACTCGAACCCACGACTTCGATCCTGGATTTAGTTTACAACTAATACAAATAAAATAAAACACTTTTAACGGTTTAAAACGCGAAATATTTGCTCAGTTTTAAATAACACTAGACGTTTCGGATTTACATTTATACATAAGTAAAAAATTAAATACTTCGCGTCTGAAACCGTTAAAAGTGTTCTAATTAACTCAAAACATTATACAATCTATTACTAATTGTTATGCAAATATCTGTGATGTTTTTAGTACACGATAGTATGTGTTATGTATGTATTAATTTAAGAATTCACATACCAAAACAATGTACAGGTCTAAGTAAGTATTAATAATAATTTTGTTTAATATTAAAACTTAAGTGAGTGTGATGTTTCAATAAAATAATCATTATTAATTGAATTTGTTTTATTAAGACCAGTAACCTTTAAATAAAACACTTTAACGGTTTAAAACGCGATATATTAGTTAAACTTATTTGAAAATGATTTTTAACTTCGGTCCGACGTTTCGGATGCTTTGCAGCAGCCGTGGTCACGGGGAGACTGACCGTCGGGGAAACGTCGGGCCGAAGTTAAAAATCATTTTCAAATAAGTTTAACTAATACATCGCGTTTTAAACCGTTAAAGTGTTTTATTTAAATGTGTACTACTCGCGTAAACTATAGACAGTATACCAGTAACCTCTTAATTTAAAATTGTGTATAGAACAAAAATATCTTTTAAAGCCGTTTTTAACGGCTTGAAATGCGAAATCTTTAAGTAATTTATCTAACTACAATACTACGCTTAGCTGAACTCGCGTAAAGTAGAAAATTTTTCCGAATGTTTCATACAGTAAATCACTCGCTGTTTACAATTTTGTTTGAAAATTGCTTTTACAAATATAATTATAATTAAGTTAGCAAGAACTCGCCTAAATAATATTTAAGTTAAGTAACAATTTGTTTTCCCCCCGGTAACGAACTCAGGACTTTTGAGATCTCGACTTTGATTAAGCTTTGCTACATTGAAGGTGAAGGAAACTGGATAATGTGTGCAGTTTACGCGAGTAGTACACATTTATATAAAACACTTTTAACAGTTTAAAACGCAAGGTGTATTAGTTAATCTTATTTATAAATCATTTTAATAACGGCCCGACGGATTCGGATGCTTCGTGGCAACCGTGGTAACGCCGTAATTAAAATTACTTAAATAAGTTTAATTACATACATCTGACGTTTTAAACTGTTAAAATCATGTATTTAATTCAAAACTGAACAGAAATACTAATTTATCAAACGGACTCTCCAGAATGTTTCCTTTCAAGGTCCCTTAATTCATTTTAAACGATCCTACGAATTTCAATTTGATAAATCCGTTTTGAAACTGCCCGAGCTTAATTTTCCGTTCTTTTATTAGGGTTCCGCAGGAAAAGAGTGGAAAGGGTGTTTGAAAACTATATTTTTCACATGTTATAATTATTGCACTTGATGGAATATTGCACTGGTATCGGAAGAAAAGAAAGAAGGGTCTTTCCATTTTTTCTGGTCCCTTTTTTGCCTCATAAGCCATAAGACTAATTAGTAAATAAAAAATAAGATTACTACATTGAATAGTTAAAAAAATAACCTCAAGAGTAGGACAGACAAGCAGTACAAATGATATAATGGGAACCCTAAGCCATACCATCAAAAACGAGATGCACTGTCCACGTTTTACGGCTACAGACATTCTCAAATCCACAGACTGCAACCTAACGAGACCAAACGTAATCTTTACTTCCTTTTTACACGCAATGTTGCCATCATTTCCAGATATTTCAGAAAATTATAAATTGATTAGCGACATGTAAGACCTGGTAGTTGCCGAATCTGTGACCCGTTGATTATTACCCTTATACTGCTACCATTAGACCAACAAACCCGTCAATTTTATGGGATTAAGATTTCCTGATATCCAATCGCATCCACTATTCACATACTTTATACATGCCACGACCTCTATTGACAAATGCCCAAATAAAAGGTAGCAAGAGGGTAGTATAATAAAAAAGGTCACGTACAGCAATTTACTGTAACTCGTAAAGGTTTTGGCCTGGGGGCCCACCGCGCCACTTGTTTGAATAAATCAAACTTAATGTGACTTTTCGTGTTGGGGAATAATTCTGACGGGCCCGTCGGACTAATGCTAGACAATGACAAACAGATAAAAAAACGTCTTTTTCGGATATATAAAGCCAAAATAGGTTGACGGACGTATTTACCTGTTGAAATGTTATATGGCTGAAATATTCCTCAACTTCTATCTAGTTCACATTTTAATAAAACACTTTAACGGTTTAAAACGCGATGTAAATTAGTTAAACTTGTCTATAGTTTACCAAGTAGTACACATTTAAATAAAACACTTTAACGGTTTAAAACGTGCTATATTAGTTAAACTTATTTGAAAATGATTTTTAACTTCGGCCCGACGTTTCGGATGCTTTGCAGCATCCGTGGTCACAGGAGACCATGATGGGAGGGTGTCTGACGCTAGCGCCATCTATCGCGTCGTTGGTAATTCAAACATGTTAAACTTATATATAGCACATTTTAAACCTACTCTAAACTCTATTATGAAATACATCCAAAGTTTCAACATCGATAAGAAATTAACTTTTTACTCCCACGCAGAGCGCATTTTTGCCGATTCGAAATATAGCTTCAAACTAAGATTTATTAGATTTGCAGTACTAGAAGCCAATTGAATTGAATCGTGACGTTACCGCTTGCCTCAAGTGCAAAGTTTGGTGTACACCGAGCTTATTTTTATTTATACAAGGCACTAACAATATACATAATTAAACTTATAAGGTCTTTTTCTAATAATTATTACTACTTCTGTATCTATCTTAAAGGTATGCAAACCTATAATTTTAAAATGTACCTAGAAAAAAATCGTATAACTACTCTCTCTATTTGTAGTTTAAGCAAGTAGCTTACATGAGTTGTACACATTTAAATAAAACACTTTTGAACGGTTTCAAACGGGAAATGTATTAGTTAAACCTATTTATAAATGATTTTAATATGACATGAAATTATTTAACTACAACATTAGGGCCACCTTCTTTTATCTTTAGTCTCTAAAGCATCCGATAATTTTAACGGTTTAAAACTACTTTTTAATTCGTATAAGCGCATTTCGAAATCTCCACTGATAATCTTTCCTTCTTAGCCTTTTTTCTTGACCTAGATTTTGAATCAATACCTTGACTAATATGTGGACGGGCTTTGCTGGTACACCCCTAGAACCTACCTCCAAAGCATAAAAATCAACTCTAATACTTTTTTCCTATTCTCGCTAGATATTTTTTGGTAGGGTTTGAAATCACGTTTTCCCTCGTGGGAAATGGGACGAAATTCTGTTGTCATTTCACGTAGTTGATCAGACTTCTGTGCCATACACAACCAAAGCAATATATTGTTAATTGTCCTGGGTTGTTTATTGATTAATATATTATCTATTGTTTATTGGATTGGATCCAATAACGTAATGCCAGGAAATCCGTTTAGCTATTTCAACAAAACAACAATTGACATAAAGTATAATATGTCTATTTTCTAAACATTAAATTAAATCAATGCGAATTAACATTCGTCAAACATCGGGTGCTCTCGGCAATCTCCGGTCCGAATTGTTTCATCTTTTGTTTTACGCGTCAGGCGTTTTGACACGTACCTCATACAAGTTATAAAATTAGTTTTTAGATGTTTATATAATAAATATTGACAATGGTATTTTAAAAGCACTTAAGGTACAGCCGCCACTGGTAGCCTTTAAGTCTTCGAAGTTTTGCGACCACTGTGCCACCAGCCTTACTACGGGGTTAGAGGTAATAAATTATACCTTGACGGGCTGACTCGCCAAGCGCTTCTGCTCCATGTATACGTCATAGAGCCGTCTTTGAGGGTCTTCGGCCTGGATTTATTATCCTTCCTCACTCGTATCGTACCTCCACTAACAGATATAGACCGGCGTTCTTGTTAGGGCGCTCTATCTTTCCAGAGAAATATGTTATTTTTTAATAAATTCATTTAATGTCTGTTTCTTGTTTAGAAGGTTGAAAATATATACCTACTTTAAATAAAACGCTTGAACGGTTTAAAACGCGATATATATTAGTTAAACTTCCACTCCGTTGCGGGGCTTGGTGCAGACACGTTTGTGTGTCCGTCTTACTGATCAGTTCTTTTACAAGCGAGCGATTAGACATCTCTGTTTTGCCCGGATGAAATAATCTCTTATTCCCCCGGGAATTTAATCCAGGAACTCTCGCGCTTTAGCCAATGTAGGCAACACATTTAACCAAGTAACTACAAAGTAGTTTTTTTTATAAAATTAAAATATTAAAGCCGCATCAGAGTATTTAATAATTAGTAACACGGAGCGCGGTCGTAAGTTCGAATCCCGCTTAATTAAATTTTAACTTCTTATAAGCTTATTTCCCGCATAAAAAGTATTCGAACGAGGTAAATCACTTTGCCTGAAAGTTAATTAAAATTCCCAGCTCGTCGAGAAAATAGTTTCACATATAAATATTCATGGGTTTGCTTTGATCCTTTATAAAACTTCGCACTGAAGGAAAAACTCTATTATACTAGATGTAGCGTTAGCAAAAACGGACTTATAAGGACGCTGTTTTGAAACCGCGTTTACCACAAATAACATTTTTTTAATGAAGAACACGTATTGTCTGTATTATAAGCGAGTGTAGGTACATATAAATGAAACAGTTTAAACGGTTTAAAAGGAGAAATATTTCAGCTATATTTGATTAACTTAACATTTTGGCTGCTGTAGAGCATTCTAAATGTCGGGTCGTAGTTAAAATAAATTAAAAGTGTCGGGTTCATTCCTCAAATGGACATTCCTTGTAACAGTATAGTTTAAAAAAGCTGTTTTGACGGCTTTAAACGAAAAAGATATTAGTTTGAATGTTTTGATTGTTTTTGGTACCTTCAATCATTCGAAATGTCGAGTAAAACATGTTTTTCTACAGGCCCCAAACGGGCATTTCACTTAAATTTATAGTTTAAACTTCTTTAACGGTTTTAAACGCGAAAGATTTAAATTCACTATTTAATTTATTTTAATTACGACTCGACGTTGCGGATAACGATTATTTTAAACTTTAAACCGTTAAAAGTGTTTTATTTATAAGTGTACTATGTACTCGAGGAATACAGTTTAGTTTTTTACATTTTTATCTTTTGTCTTTTTGTTTATAGTTTTCACGAGTACACAAAAACGCACGTTTAACGGTTTCAAACGCGACATATATTAATTAACATCTTTTAAATTGATTTAAATTATTTTTACTACCTACGGCCCGACGTTTCGGATGCATTGCAGCATGCGTGGTCACGGAGGTACTGAAGATGGAAGCTGTCCTTAATGTTAAAGGCAAAAATACAAAACGCAAGTCAGACAACTTAAATAAAGCTATTTTAACTGTCTAAAACGGATGCTTTGCATCCGAAACGTCGAACCGTCCGAAAATATAATAAAAATAAGTAAACGCACATATTTCGCGTTCTCAGCCGTTTAGAGTGATTTATTGAAAACTTTTATCCAAATTATTTTGACGTAATTGCATTGCGCCTGCAAAATTGACCTGTCAAGTTGTTGATAGCCAATTTGTGGACTGATAATATTTGCTGCTGTTCAATTTAAGTGATGTTCTATGTGACAGCTTCAAGAGTTAAAGCCTACCGGTGCTAGGTTCGAATCCTGGAATTTAGCTAGAAAAATTGATCAATTACTTGCTTGTTATTTGTTTAAAGACCGTGGAGAACAGACAAGCATAGCTGATCGACTTGATGGAAGGCAAAACACCCTAGCCATATAACATCTTACTAAAATGCGCTGTCGTCCCATTTTGACTTTGGACATTCTTAAATCGAGACGCGATTCAACTTCGCGACCTTTTCTGTGGACGTGGTGTGTACTTGTAAGTTTAATCGCGTTACGGTTTCAGTCTGAACTTACGAATATCCAAAGCCCGACATGGATCGACAGTGCATCTTGTTTGGCAAAGAATGGCTTTATTATTATAACAGTCTCCATTATTATACGAGACGTGGATTCCCCTCCGTCCTTGCTTCAATGCAATTAAAACTTCGAGCTGGAACGAAGATAGGTCTCGAACAGAAAGTCAACTGCATTTTAATAAGGTTTTTTCGACAATTTCCTTCGTCGTTGTCGCGACTCTATAATTACGTCTAGAGCTTGGAAGCTATTTTGAATAGAGCAATTGTGAAATCATTGAAATGAAACACTTTAACGGTTTAAAACGGTATATATTAGTTAAACTTATTTAAATGTTATTTTTAACTTCGGCCCCGTGACCATGGCTGCTGGAAAGCATCCGAAACATGGATGTTATTAGAATAGTAAAATTACTTTGCTGTTTGGGCATGGAAGACATACTTATATGTCTGTTCTGGCACGAGATATTATTTTAATTAGCAATTCCCTCAAGTGTTTGGACATTGCAGACATATATTTATGTCTATTTTACTAATAGATATTATTTTCAGTAAGCAATTGTAAAATCACAGAAATGATATTTTATAAGCAGACTTCTGTCTTACCCAATGTATAACTGTTTCAAGAGTCGAAACTGTAACCACGAAATGTGATTTGTATTTAATCCACGAATGCTGTACTTTGATGCTTTGGTAACTTAAAAAAACAGAGTTCAGAACTAAATGGTTTATTACAAACATAAATATCTCATCTATCTATGCTAATATATAAAGCTGAAGAGTTTGTTTGAACGCGCTAATCTTAGGATCTACGGGTTCGAATTGAAAAATAATATAAAACACTTTAACGGTTTAAAACGCGGTATATTAGTTAAACTTATTTGAAAATGATTTTTAACTTCGTCCCGACGTTTCGGATGCTTTGCAGCTGCCGTGGTCACGGGGAGACTGATTTTTAACTTCGTTTAAGTGTTTTATTGAAAAGTGTTATCTCCTTTCAAATAAAAGAAAGAAGTTTTAATAATGTATGGCTTATAAAAGAAAAAGAATAAAAAATAAAGATGTATAATATTATTTATGTTTCCCACAAAATTATTTAATTTTTTATAAAATTAATCGTTGAGATTTATACTACAAAAGAATCTACAAATTTGGAAAGTATTAAAAATAGCGAATTATTATAATTTTTAAATTTATTATGAAAGAAATTACGTCAGAGCCATCTATAAAACAAATTGGAAATCTTGACCAGTTCGAGAATAACGAAGCGCCATAACAAAGGTTTCTATCTTAGTTACAACAATAAAATATAGATAGCGCTTTTATAAACCAAATACCTAAATTTATATCCGTACCATTTGTAAATCATAATTTCTGAAAACGTTGATTGAATAACGATTTAAAGTTATGGACAGTATTTACAATTTATTGTCTGCCGTCATACAATATTTAAATAAATCAATGCAACGCATTAATTTAATGCAAAGTTTCCGAAACGTCGGGCCGTAATAAAAATAAAATAAAATATATGCATATAATTATTTTAAACAAACAATGGTAAGCTGACCGATGTCCCTGAAAGCCTTACACAATTTTTTAAATTAAATTTAAGTTTACTATTTACACTTAATTATCTATTTAAGCTTCGAAAATAGCAGGTCAAGTGTTTGGCGATTTAAATAATAGATGGCGCTATTTTCAATACCTTGATTAGACAATAGACACCAAATAAATAAACGTCACTTTTAAGTCATTAATACGTTTTTAAAGAATAAAAAGATAATTTTGTAACTAATTGTTTTTTTATATTTATTATGGGAGACAACCTACCGTTACTACCGGAGAGGTAAATAACAATATAATTTTAATTTATTTTTGGGTTTCCTGTGACCATAGTTATGACAATTGTTTTAATAACTATAATCTTTAAAAAGATGCTTACAAACATGAAATATATTCGTTTCGGATACTTTGTCACGGATCATCGCGTTTCAATCTGTTAAAAGTGTTTTATTTAATTCTGTAGTACTCGCGGACCTACCATATATCTTTAAAAAGATAATGAATGTTTAAATAAAACACTTTAACGGTTTAAAACGCAATATATTAGTTATCTTATTTGAACAATGGTTTTTAACTTCGGCCCGACGTTTCGGATGCTTTGCAGCAGCCGTGGTCACGGGGAGACAGGGGTCACAGTCTTTCGAACGTTAAAAAGTTAAAGTTTCGAAGTTAAAAATCATTGTTCAAACAAGTTTAACTAATATATCTCGTTTTGAACCGTTAAAGTGTTTTATTTTAATGTGTACTTCTCGCGTAAACTATAGACAGTATATAATGAATGTTGTATAGAGAAGCGATTTGCACGGATGTGCGGCCGGTCTTACGCGAAGTATTTCGCGACGAGGACTACTTGCCGCCAATTGCTGACTGTTATCCGGAAAATCATGATGATAAGACAATTTTGGAACAGAAAAAATGGGTGAGTACACAAAACGAAAACAGTTTTAAAAGAAAATCTTATCTTTTATAATAAATTCTTAAATATTGACTTACTGTGCCTGCGACTTCCCCCGCGAAGAATAGGGCAGCAAAATTTGTTTCTGCAAACCTACTCCTCATCTGTATCAAGTACAGTATGTTATATTGACGCCAGTCGCATCCCGTCAACCTTGCATGTTAAATTTAAAATATCACTAACATTTTATCGATCACTTAAAAATTAATCATTTTTATTATATCTTTGGTATCTTGAACCGTTCTCGCTGCGCACGCACCGAATCTAAAGTATGCATTATAATTTCTTTTTATTGCAGCGCGATGTTTTATAGCTTAAAACCGTCCAAGTCTAAACCAGCCGTTCCCGAGTTCAAACAAACAAACGTTGCCATAATGGTTCAATGAATTGCCATAAAAAAAAACCCAAACGTTTTTTGTCATTACGATAATCTGCTTTTCCCCCCCCCCCCCCCCTTTTTTTTTGGTGCCTTAACAATCATGTTTACCTAATGAAACAAACAAAAATTTGACAGTCGTTAGTCGACAAAGTGGTAATAGGCGATACGTGGGTTGTCACGTGATAATCGCCGAACGCCCGATTCGTACCAACATTACAGAGGACGTTTCAGGTCGATGAGTTTTCATCAGAATGCGAAAAATTCCACGAGAAAGAGAAGAACTTGAAATATAAATACGCGCAGCGGTTATCCAGGGAACCGTTGCCAAACATCTTCAAAATATACTCCGATCTTAGCAACGGATCAGAAGACTCCTGGACTGTAGTGAGGAAGGACTTGAAGCCGACGATAGAACAAGATGCTGGGTGTATGTACCATAAAACGCAAATAATACTGTCTATAGTTTACGCGAGGAGTACACATTTAAATAAAACAGTTTAACGGTTTAAAACACGACATAAAATAGTTAAAAATATTTGAAAATCGGCCCGACGTTTCGGACGCTTTGCAGCCGTGGTCACGGGGAGACCAAGAATGGCGGATGTCTCTGATGTCAAAGTAAAAACTGCTACGCTAGCGGCATCTGTTCCGTCGTAGTTGGTATTTATCGAAACTGGCCGGGTCCTTGCAGAATTGATTAACGGTGTCCTTGCGTTTCCCCGTCTGCTGTATTTTGCTGGCAGATGCAACGTCGGGCCGTAGTTAAAATAATTTTCAAATAAGTTCCGTTGAATCTTCTACCGCTGCCGATAAATTAAAATGAAGTAATATAAGAATATTTGTTATTTTTATATGTCGTTAACAGGGCTCCATGCTTTTACTCATATACCAGAAACACACTAGATACTCACTATAAATAATTTATTAGCGCGTTCGTCGGGTCAGCTCGTTATATTTTTGTTGTAAGTGGAGGGCCTGTCAATTAAGGTATTAGCATAGCTACATGAAAAACCCTTTTCTTCTGTTTTTATAGGAGTAACGAATTTACATCTCCATTTGCTGGGCTTTGTGGTCCCATCGCAACGCGATGTTATTTTAATGGTTTGAATATTCGAGGTTAGGGCACCAGCACAGATCGTAGTGGTAGCCGGTTCAAAGCTCGCTCGGTAATTATTAATGGTGTTCGTCTAAAAGTAAACTTCATAAGTATTGCCAGGGGTAGTCAACATTAAAATAAAACACTTACAACGGTTTAAAACTCTAAGTATAACAGTAAAACTTCATTCAATAACGTTTCGAACGCTTATCAGACACCGTGATAACAGCGGCCATAGTTAAAATAAATTTACATTAAGTAAAACATTTTTTATAGAGTAAACGCAAAACGTAGTGGATAATTATTGTAAAAACGGCCCGACGTTTTAAATGTTTTGGAGCAGTCGTGATCGCGGGGGCCGTAAAATATACACTTTTAGAGGTTTAAAACGAATTTTTTTTATAAATAATTATTTATACGACGGCCCGACGTTTTGAATGCTTACAAAAGTCGTGATTATGGCGGCTGTAGTGAAAATAAAGTAACATTAAATAAAACACTTTTTTTAACGGTTTAAATCGCGATATATATAAGTCAACTTATTTTTTATTCATTTTACCTTCGTCTCCACGTTTTGGTAGCTATGAAGAAACCGTAGTCAAGGGAGTGAAGATTGAGGGTTTCCAGTCAAATCAGCTACGCTAGCGCCATCTGTTGCGTCGGGTCCACCCAGTAAAGTTCGCATTTCAAGCAGTTTCAAGTGTTTTTAGTGACATATAAAAGAATAGATAAATGTATTGTTTTGTAGGTAACACAAGTCTGTGGGTGAAAAATATTTTGAACAGGAGTTCTGGAGATTTGACTGTTTGTCAACATGAACCCAAGATACCAAGCGGAGAAGCAATATTTCCACCAGATGATGTGACCATACAATCGTACAGGTTAGATTATCTTATGAAGAAAGACGAATGGTAGCAATGTATGGCTAATCGTCAACGGGTCATGGGCTGGTTCCCCATTGGGTCCTCAATCAATTTATTCTCTGCTGAAACATGTTGGACTCCGTCTGGAAATCTGGATATTCCGCCCACAGATGAAAAAGCGTGACGTATCGCTTTTCGGTTACAGACTGTGGATTTCCGATTATCCAAATCCGACATAGGTCGATTGCGCATCTTGTTTAGATGTTATATGGTTGGGGAGAAATATCTCCTACCATCGAGTGAACTCCTTTTAATAAGTTGTTTAATATACAAAATTAATTACTAATGGTGCAATAACAGCCTGTGGCTAAATGGTTAAACGTGTTGCCTAGCGTTAAGCGCGAGATGTCCTGAGTTCGAATCCAGGGGAAACAATAGATTGCTTCAGGGCACAGAAGTCTTGACTACTTGTGTGTAAATAAAAGCGTTATGTGAAAGGGACACAATGTGTTTGCTACCATACCCCACGATGGGTAATTAAATTTCACTAATGTCAAAAATAATACCATCTACATACTGTATGTAGTTCACTTTTAAACACTTTAACGGTTTAAAACGGGATATATATTACACGTGGATATATATTATTATAGTCATAGTCACGGCTGCTGCAAAGCATCCGAAACGTCGGGTCGCAGTTATATTTTGTAAAGAAGTTTAACTAATATATTTCGCGTATTACACCGTTAAAGTGTTTTATTTGAATACAGTCTGTAAATTACATTTGATACTGCAAACGTTGCAGCATAGGAGAAGCCGTACCACGTCCACCTCCCCCTCCCCCCAAGCTGGCCATCCAACCCCCACAGCCAGAGTACATTCTATGTGTGCCCCCACGAATTGAGTTCGTCAATTTTACACTTGGTCATGTTCATACGGTGGGTATATTAAAACTTTTGTCCTACTGTTCGTATTTGTATTCTGCTACGCGTACACTAATATTGTAAAGAGGTAGATTTATTTCTATGCTTGTGTGTTTTTATCTTACGGTTTTAATATTTTGTTCTCAAATCTCATACTTAGAAACTAGGGTAATCTGATACTGTTTGTAGTTTACGCGGGTAGTACACATTTTAATAAAACACTTTAACCGTTTAAAACTCAATGTATATTAGTTAAACTTGAAAATTATATTTTACTTGTTAACTTATTAACGGTAAAGTAGATTTTGAATATATACTACACAAAATCTACTGCGTTACAACCCTATTGCAAAAAAATACTAGAGATTCAATATTGTCTGTGGTTTAGTAGACATATTTAAATAAAACGCATTTAACGGAATAAAACGTGATATATATTTACTATCAGTTTGGGGTCGTCCCTAATGTCGAAGTCAAAACTGATACACCTTTTGTTTTATTGTTGTTGATGTAGCGTATTCAAAGTAAATATATATCGCGTTTTAAACCGTTAAATGTGTTTTATTTATCTATATACTACTCGCGTAAACTACAGACAGTACTTACATTGAAATAATTCAATAGAAGCTTGAAAAAACGGTTCGCCGATCAACGATCCCTTCATCAAGATCCACTTCGTCAAAAACACGAAAACATTTGTTTGATGCAACGGCGGAAAAAAGCCAGCAGCGCAAATATCGTGGGAATATACAGTGCGCGGAAATAACAAGGCGATGGCATATACCGAAATACGACTTTTCGACTGAGCTTGTTATGTCTGTAGGGTCAGTAAAAATCCAGTACAGGTACACGTTTCGGATGCTGTGTCTAACCAGAACGGATTTTAATAAAACACTTTTAACTGATAAAACGCGAAATATTAGTTACATTTATTTACGATTTAAGCCATGGTCACAGGGACTGCTGCTGCAAAGGTTTCGAAACGTCGGGCCCTATCTAAACTTATTTGTCAAGTGGTAAATATTTAAATAAAACACTATTAACGGAATAATACGCGTTATATATTTACTTTCAATCCGCCAAATATCAGCTGATATTAAGATGAAACATATGGCGCTAGCGTGGCACTTTTGACTTGGCCATTAGGGACACCCTCCATCTTCAGTCCTCCTACAAGCATCGAAAACGTCGGCCCGTGGTGAAAATAATTTGTCAATAAGTTAGTAATATACGCGTTTTAAACCGTTAAAAGTGTTTTATTCAAATGTGTACAAATCGGGTAAAATACAGACAGACTTATATTTTACAAATAAGTTTAGATAGGGGACGACGTTTCGGATGCTTTGAGCAGCCGTGGTCAAGGGGAGACTACAGATAGAGGGTGTCTCTAATGGCCAAGTCAAAACCCCTACGCTAGCACACATTTCAGCTGCTGCGAAGCATTCGAGCGTCGGGCCGTAGTTAAAATTTGATATCAACATATTTTTTTTCATTAGAGCGGTCCATATGTGCCTCCGTTTAGCATTTTTATTAAATAAAAAATGTAAATATTGATTAACTCTTTCCAAGCAGCTTGCTTGGGGAATATATTCCTTATTAAGACGGCCTATCTTTTTTAGGAAACTCTTCGTCTCATAAATGTGTCAAAATTTGAAATACGCCTATCAGTGACACCACCCAAGCGAAAGGAACTGGACGTGGAGTTGTGTTCTAGGCTGGTGGTCACGTCGGGGTCCGCCGCTGAATTCCGGATCCACTATAGGCCGGTGGACGTCCGCGCTGTCGCGGATGTGTTGCAAGTGCGCGTGTCTGTTGGGCGTGGATTGCTGATACCGATCTCTTGTTACATGCGACCGCCTGTTTTGGAAAGTAAGTCGTGTTTATTTTTTAGGAGTTTCCAAAAGTAAAAACGTACGCATGTGTTAAGGTTGAAATTACATTGTGCGAGGGTCACATCACAATGTGTTATATATAGTTATATATAGTCTATAAGCTTCCTCGATAAATGCTCTAACCAACACAAAAAACAAAATTCAATTCGAACCCGTACTTCCTGAGATTAGCTCGTTCAAACAAACAAACAAACAAACTCTTCAGCTTTATATATTAGTATAGATTTAAACCGCGCTGACAGATTTCATAAATTAAATTTAGCTATCCTCCTAAAACCAATATATTTGAGGCTGCTAGAAGCAGATCACAAAAAAAAAACATGATTTTCAAAACGTGAAAATCTATACTATTATTTGTATAAGAATTATGTTAACAATTTTCGGTGCCTTTGTGGATTGACATTTTGAGACTACAAAAATATAAATAACTCAAATCATAAAATTGCACTTGGGCTACTTTGCCTCTAGCTGCCGTATTTATCTTCCACAAAAACTCGGGTCGCTCTTGAAAGTCCAATAAATGAAAATATTATGTACAATATTATGATTAGAAATAGTCGAATATTGAGTATAGTTTATAGGAGTGGTATTAAAATAAAACACTGTTAACGGTTTAAAACGCGAATTGTATTATGTAGTCGTAGCGACTGCTGCAAAGCATCCGAAAATCGGGCCGTACATAACATAGGTTGTAAATAAGTTAACGAACCGACCGCCTCTCTAGCCAAATGGTTAAACGTTAAGCCTTGCGTTAAGCGCGAGAGGTCCTGGGTTTGAATCCCAGGGAAAAAACATGTTTCAGATGGACAGGGCGCAGAAATCTGATCAACTACTTGCCTGTTTAAAAATGGATCAGATAAACGAACACAAAAATGTGTTCGCCCCATGCCCCATGAGGGGCAAACGGGATTTCACTACTATTAAGTTAACCAACATCTATTTGGTTTTAAACGGTTAAAAATGTGTAGCAGATAGTACTTAGTATTATAACTTACTAGATTTTAAACTAGCTGACTGCAGTAGTGCGACCAAGTTTTCGTTACAAACACATAAATCTCAAAGGAACTGCTTTGTCAGTTTTGTTGTTCGCTTCGGTTGTTTATGGTTGTTTTCAATGTTTATAAGCACAATAGATTTTTCCTATCGAGTGTTTCCTTAAAAGTTTTAGTGAGAGAACTTTAACAATTCAGCAAGAGGAGATATGCGACGCGGTAAGAGTTATGTGTCACTAGCTGATATTATCTATATTAATGTATAAAGCTGAAGAGATGTTTGTTTAAACGGATAGAACAATTATTTTTGTCTTAATTAGAGCATTTATCGAGGCTATAAAATATTGTGAACTTTTTTATAAACGGACGAAGTCGCAGGCACAGCTAGCTATGGTGATAAAACTCTAGCAAATAATCTGTAATTAACTGTCTGTAGTTTACGCGAGTAGGTCACGCAGTTGGGCCGTAGTAAACATTTTCAAATAAGTTTAAGCAATATATATCGCGTTTTAAACCGTTTTAAGCGTTTTATTTTAATAATGGAACAATTTACGATAAAAATTCTTGCAAATTAATCTTAAAAGATAGACGTTTAGTGTAAGTAATTAGTAAAGAGTAAATAATTTTCCGCGTTTTTTTTACATTTTCTTTGCTCGTATTAGTCACAGCGCAATGTTTTATATACCTTGCTCAATAAATGCTCTAACCGACACGAGAAGAATTTCAACAAACTCTTCAGCTTTATATATGAGTATAGATAATCATTTATTTCAGTTCTTGTGCCGAATCTGACATCAGTTCGCCTGGACTCCACGAACCCAACGGAAACGACTGCAGACGTGCTGGACTTGGGTTCCAGACTGCTGGGAGACGTACACCGGGCGTCCGTTCTCTTCTACTGCGCTGAGAAGCACGCTTCCTTCTTCCTCTTACCCGAAGACGCTTGGTTTAGCTTCTGTGTTGATGTGAGTGTTTTCCCCCCCTTTTTTGACTCAGCTGGATTTTTTCTATGATAGAGTAGGACAGACAACTATGGGGTTGACACCTTAATACATTGCACTGTTGACCTATCTCGGCTTGGATATTCAATTCTTATGAGTACATCACTAGGAAGTCTACCTTTATAGTTCAATGGTTAAGCGAGTTTTCTTAGTGTCTTAGATTCGAATCCTGGAGAGGTGGAGGAATAAAAAAATAAAATATTATATTTACACATTAACATTTAAACAGGTTACTGAAGCTTTTGATGTATTATGTAAGGTTATTGTGGTGCAAGGGCACGACGTTTTAAACCGTTAAGTGTTTTATTTGAATAAAGGTCTAAATTTAAAACTTAACTGTTAGAATTGATTTCTCACATAATACAGCGTTATATTTCGACAAAATGTATCCCCGTTTGGATGAACTGTTAGTATTTGTCAGGGGGAAAACTTTCTTTTTGTGGTTCCAGGTGGCTGCGAGTTCTGGTAAGGGCAAGAGCGTAGGTGGCGCGGCGAGCGACAATTTCTGGTTGAGTCCAGTTCGCTGGTGTGGCGGTGGCACCACCCGCGCGATCGCCGTCTGCTATGCAGCTGAGCCAGGTCTACATACCACTGCGTTGAGGATCCTGAGCTCCACGGCGATAGTACGACCTCTGAACCTGGTCGCTGATGCTCTATGGTTTAGACCTACCCACATAACTTTGCTTGTAAGTGTGTTTGATGTTGACAACATATGAAGCTGAAGAGTTTGTTTGTTTGAACGCGCTTATCTCAGGAAGTATTGGTTCGAATTTAAAAATTATTTTATTTTGGTAAGAGCATATATTAAGAAGCTATGGCTATAAAACATCGTCCTGTAACTAATAGGAGCGAAGATACAAAGGGAAATGTCGCAAAAATTGGAAACGTTATTCCCCATTATGGGTTTCCGAGGCGTACGCTGCAGAAACGGTTAAAGATATCCAAAAAATAAGAATGATAGAATGATTCCTCTTTAAATTATAAAAAAATATGTCCGCGCTTAAGATGAACTTTCAAGAACGACGGGACACGACGGATGATGTAGGTAACAGTTTGCAAATAAAAGCGGACAAAGTCGCTGACTCAGCTAGCCATTTATATGCCAACAATCATTTATTTTCACTGTACAACTACTTCTAGTCTTTCAGGCTCACGAGAAGGACTATGACATCTGCAGTGCAGATGATCCAGCTTGTGAGTACTACGTGCGGTTGGGGACAGCATTTCCGGGACGTCCATTGTCGTCTGTGATAGAAATTGTCAATCATAGGTAAATGTCCGTGGACAGTATTCCGTGTCCATCTCCCATCGATTTTTTAAATAATAGTATTCAAATAAAACACTTTAACGGTTTAAAACTATATATATTAGTTAAACTTATTACTTAAGTTAATTTAAAAAACGAAAATAAATTGATAAAATTTTCAATTCGGGCAGGACTTGAACCGGCATCTTCAGCGTTCCGTTCCTCTGCCTTTTGCCTTCATGTGAAAAATATTAAAGTTTTCAAACGTTATTTGAAAGTTATTTTAACTATTGCCCGACGATGCGGATGCTGTGCAGCAGCCGTGGAAGTTAAAAATCATTTTCAAATAAGTTTAACTAATATATCGCGTTTTAAACCGTTAAAGTGTCTTATTTAAATGTGTACTACTCGCGTAAACTATAGACAGTGTTTAAAAAACAGTTTTAGAAAAACTGTTGCAACTGAATGGATTTGTAAATTTGAATTTCGAACGGTGAACCATATCCTCGGTGCAGAATTCGAAATTCAAATTCAGATTCAAACGGGACACAGTACCAATTTGTGGAGCGAAGTATTGTCTATAGCACGACTTGTACGCGTTTGGATTGAAATTCATATTCAAATAATTCGATCCATATCAATGTACACAAATACACATTTAAATAAAACACTTTAACGGTTTAAAACGCGATATATTAGTTAAACTTATTTGGAAATGATTTTTAACTTCGGCCCGACGTTTCGGATGCTTTGCAGCATAGAAACTTTGGGCCGTAATTAAAATAATTCTTAAATAAGTTTAACTAATATATCGCGTTTTAAACCGTTAAAGTGTTTTATTTAAATGTGTACAACTCGCGTAAACTATAGACAGTATTATTTTTTACAAATACACATTTCAAACACCTTTAACGGTTTCAATTGCGAAATATACAGTTACTTACTATCCCAAGAGATCACAGCTGCACCAAACATTCGAATAATTCGAAGTACGCAAATACAGTACAGAAATATTTTATGCGTTTCAAATCGTTAAATTAAGTTAATCATTTCCGCCTCTGTAGCCAAGTGGTTAAACGTGTTGCCTAGCATTGCGTTTGGCGCGAGAGGTCCTGGATTCAAATCGCAGGGAAACAAAAAAATTGTTTCGATCGGGCAGGGCACAGAAGTCTGATCAACTAATTGCCTGTTAAAGAACGGATCAGTGAATCGAACACAAAAATGTGTTTGCCCACGCCTCACGAGGGGAAAACAGGATTTCACTTAAGATGTATCATTTATTTTTTATAGTGTCTGTAGTTTACGCGATATATATTAGACAACCGTCGGGCGGTAGTTAAAAATAATTTGCAATTCACTTTAACTAACTTATATCGCGTTTCAAACCGTTCAGTGTTTTATATAAATGTGAGGATCTCCATAGATGTCTTTTTGTTTTATAGTCCCCTCTCTTATCCTTACTATTGGAGTGTCAGGGCGTGGGGTGTGTGCTCATGCTGGACTGGCTCCGAGACTTCGCTCCTAGCAGAAGATGATGACCTTTGCGATGAAGCTACGATGTTGAAACGACAAAAAGTATGATGTTCTTTTAACTTCCTGAAAACGTATGTACTGTATTTTTTCTAAATTGACAAAAGACTAACAAATATGGCGAATATTTTTTCTGAAATATGTTGGACTTCGTTCTTGGATATTGAGTGGGTGTTAGGAATAGAGAAATTCCGTCCGGTTCACGGAACCATTTTTTTTGAAATATGTTGGACTCCGTCTGGAAATATGGATATTGAATGGCTGTTGGGGAGAAAGAAATTTCGTCCGGGGGGCCCCCGTCCGTAGATGAAAATGCCGTGAAATTCAAATAATATCCAAAGATAAAGTAGGTCAATAGCGCAACTTAGATGCTAAACGCTGGGCTCTATCACCTACCATTGCTACCATTCGACCCACGAGGTCATCTGGTGGCATTCTGCATAAAGGAATGTTTATTAACCATTTAAATTGTAACATACGGATCGTAGATTTGAGGCCGGTTGGTTTCAACAAAAATTTCCACTTTTATTTCAGTCGTTTGGTGTCTACTGCTGGACATTGGCTTCCAAAGACTTCTTCTTCTGTTCACTTACACTTTCTACTTCAATGTCATATAGACTCACCTATGCATCTCATCTATACTAATATATAAAACTGAAGAGGCTGTTTGTTTGAACGCTAATCTCAGTAACAAAATATTTTTTTTCTGGTGTTGGTTAGAGCATTTATCTAGAAAGGTTTTGAATGATTACAGCGTGACTGATAAGCGCGGAGAAACAGTGAATGTGGAAAAAAAACGAGAAAATTATTCAAGAAGTTGAATACGGTTTTCCGATGCATACGCGGTGATAACCGTTCAAAACACATATATATTAAAGAATGATTCCTCTTTAAATGATCTAAAAATGACCGCCACACTATTGTGTCTATCTTTTAAGATTAACTTGCAAGAACGACGGGACGCGACGCGTAGGTATAGCTTAAAGTATACAGATAATGGGAAGGTTTGCAAAAACAAATTTGGATGCCCAAAATTACTATTCTACGCGGATAAAATCGCTGACACAGTTAGTGCTGATATAAAACAATTTCATCTCTCCCTGAAGCATGGAGTAAACGAAGATGCAAGGGCAGTCCGGGTGGAATCAGCCAACGGGAGACTGTTTCCTCGTTCCGTTACGCAGCTCCACGTTCAAGTACCTGACGCTGGTCATCTCCTGGGGCAGCACAGAGCCGTGCTTATGTAAGTACTAGCTCTTTATAAATTTAAGCTAGATATTACCTTGGCGATATTGTTCGCGTCCCGTTGATCGCTTATAAATTTGACCGGTTGCTCGCGACCCGTCATTCGGGTCCCGTCGTTCTTGCAAGTTAATCCTAATTGATTGACATAATAAAGTGTTGCGGACATTTTTTTAGATAATCATGTTTATGATACAGACAGAAAAAGTATATTTTGGGTGTCTTGAACTGTCTTCGCAGTGTACGCATCGGAAACCCACAGAGATGAATACTTACCCCCGTTTTTTTCATATTTTACGCTGTTTCTTCGTTACTAGCAGTCACATATCGATGTTTTATAGCCTATATATAACCTTCCTCGATAAATATTCTAGTCGTCAGTTCTTGGAATTTGAACCACTGTCAAACAATCACCACAGATCGTTAAGTGTTTTCTATAAATGCCACAGATAATTATTTCTTCACAAGACATAATTCGATAATCTACGTTCCGTTTCTGCGAGTCTTTTCTAGGATTTATAAAATGTATTCGTATATTTTTTTTTATTGCGGGCATATTCTATTGGAAGACAGTATAATTACAATAAAACTAGAGGAATACATCAAACTCGAAACGAAACCGTTAGCAAATTCAAATGATCAACGTCAAATTTGACACTTTTGACATAAGTCTAAATAATTAAGCCAGAGAGCGCGAACGTGTAAAGTTAGTACTATAGTTAGTGCATTACAAACGTTAGTGTTAACGTTAAAAAACGTGGTTTAAACCCGGTTTGAGAGTTGGTTCGCGTTTCGTTATAAGAGTATATGTGTCGCGCTTAGAACAAGAAAAATTCTTTAAATATTTTATTATTCATTTGGTATCATTCGTTTGTAATTTCGGAGCACGTTCAAGTCGTGGATATTGAAAGTTGTTACGTAGGTTATTGAAAACCAAATCACGACGACCAACTACTATCTATAGAACACCAGCCTCGAGAGGTGCCGTGTTTGAATCCCGGGGAAATGGTAAATCATTTCGGTCGGGTACGGCATAAGTCCGGTCAGAAATGATTTATGCATATTTTCTACCATTGTATGTATTTAAGCTTTGCAATATTAAATAATCTTATTTCAACACTGTCTATAGTTTACGCGAGTAGTACACATTTAAATGAAACACTTTAACGGTTTAAAACGCGATATATTAGTTAAACTTATTTGAAAATGATATTTAACTTCGGCCCGACGTTTCGGATGTCTCCCCGTGACCACGGCTGCTGCAAAACATCCGAAACGTCGGGCCGAAGTTAAAAATCATTTTCAAACTAATATTTCGCGTTTTAAACCGTTGAAGTGTTTCATTTAAATCTTTTTTCTTCTCTTTCTTTCTTAGATCTCTACCCTTCAGCCGTAGTCCGGTATACACACTATCTTCCTTTGTTTCCTTCTCAGGTTGATTTTGAAGGCAGTTCCAAAGGAGAGTTTCCCACCCAACTACGACGCAATGATAGTGAAAACGGAGGTTGTCAATGAGGAGGGAATACCAGGTGTCTGCTCGGTTCGGTTTGAAGATACTTTTTTTTTAGATTGAGGACCGACAAACATGGGGGGCATTTGATGGTAGGTTAATAACCCAGCCATATAAGATCTGCTGTCGACCCATTTTAGTGTAGAAGTCGAAACAAAAATGAGATATAAGTTACTTCTGTCTCTGTATACCATTTGAGATGATAAAGTAACAAATAATGTCATAAGATTATTTTAAACAGGTTTCGTACGCTTAAATAAAATTTTAACGGTCTAAAACAACATGACATTCGTTGACATTTCTCCCTACACTGCTACAATATACTTAAAACAGATGGCGCTAGCGTAGCAGTTTTACTTTGACATTGAGGTCACCTTCATCTTCATTCTCCTGTGGCCATAGGTGCTGCAAAGCACACGAAACATCGGGCCATAGCTAAAATTTTATTGTAAATAAGTTAACCAATACATTTCACGTTTTAAACCGTTAAAAGTGTTTTATTTGAAGAGTGTATGTTTGTCTCTTTTCAGAGCTGGTCCCGTGAAGTTTGCGACATTGTTTGCTGTCAGCTAGAAGTATGGTGGGATGTGGTGCCGGTTCGATTCGTACTCGAACCGCCCGTTTTGAAATTGACTCATTCTAGAAGGTTCTATTTTGCTCGTTAATTTATTTAAATTATTAAAGGTTTTTACAAACATGTCGGGTCCGTCGGTTTCAAACCCACGACCCGACGATTCTTAGCCATACGTCGCTACCACTGCAAACGAGAATTTCCGTTCCCAGGATAAAATCAACGGACATTTGTCTAAAAGCGACACAATTGTATGGCGTGACCGGGGTCAAGGCAAGCTGGAATGTATCTGGATCCAAGGCAATAAATTTGCTGCCCGGGGAAGCCGTTGGAACTAATTTCAATTTACAAATGCAGCAGCTAGCCAACCACTATCCGGATCTAGATGTTATTGAGTGAGTATACATTTTAATGAGCGGATTCAATATCAATTTAACGGTTTAAAACCCGAAATATATACGTTATATTATTTATTTTAATTTTGCTGCCGCGACCATAGGGGGACTGAAGATGGAGGGTGACTAATTTAACGGTTTAAAACGCGAAATTTATTGGTTACCTCAATTCCTATTTAATCGTTACGGACCCTCGTTTCGGATAATTTGCTATTGTGGTCATGGGGGGGACTGAAGATATAGGGTGTCTCTAATGTGAATGTCAAATCACATTCGCGATATGGCCGCGTTTTAAACCGTTAAAATTATTTACTTTAAATACTGTCTGTAGTTTGTGCGAGTAGTACATAATTAAATAAAACGCTTTGACGGTGTAAAAACGATATATATCATGATAGTCCCCCCACACGCAACCAAAGCGTCGGGCCGTAGTTAAAATAATGTTTAAATAAGTTTAGATAATATATATTGCATTTTAAACCGTTTAATATTTTATCTAAATGCGCATCCAAAGCATTGTAATTTAACTATCTACTTCGGGTTTTAAGCCGTTAAATTTAAATTAGTCTTAATTGACAGATTAAACGCTGCGAGCAAAGAATGGAAATCGTCTTGTGTCATTCAAAGATGTTACAATACGCGTCACCCATCTCTACGACCAGCGTTGAAATGGCTTGGCTTGGTTCCACCTGGAGCCAAGGTCCAGACCGAATTGGTTGTCCATAACGACACTTATCAACATGTAAGCATAATCCTTGTATCTGTAGGATCGCGTCGGGCCTCCAATTTATATGAATAAATTAAAATATATACCTTAAATACTGTCTATAGTTTACGCGAGTAGTACACATTTAAATAAAACACTTTAACGGTTTAAAACGCGATATATTAGTTTAACTTATTTGAAAATGATTTTTAACTTCGGCCCCACGTTTCGGATGCTTAAAAAATTGCCAAATACCAACTTCGACGGAACAGATGGCGCTAGCGTAGCAATTTTTTACTTTGACGTCAGAGACATCCTCCATTTTTATTCTCCCCGTGACCACGGCTGCTGCAAAGCATCCGAAACGTCGGGCCGAAGTTAAAAATCGTTTTCAAATAAGTTTAACTAATATATCGCGTTTTAAACCGTTAAAGTGTTTTATTTAAATAAAATATACCTTGTTTAATCAACAACAAGTACTTGGACAAAACATTATTATAAAAAAAAGAATCCCAACTCGTTCAAAACGCGAAGTATATCAGTTACTTATTTTAGTTGAATTTAACTGCGGACGGACGTTTCGGATGCTTTTAAATTTTTTATAACATAGATAGACATTGGCTGCAGTTTACGCGAGTAGTAAAAAGTTAAATAAAACTTTTGTAACGGTTTCAAACGCGAAATATTTTAGTTAAACTCATGTTTAATGTATTTTAACTACAACCTACCCGCGGAAACTAATATGTATCGCGTTTTAAACCGTTAAAGCGTTTTGTTTGAATAAGGTTGTTAAATAATGGTCAAATTTCCAAGCAATACATTTGTGTTCCTTAGATTTGCTGGTGGGTGACATGTGTGCGTTGGTGGGGTGAGCGTCGTGTCGCCGATGTGTGTGCGTCCCGCGCGCCATGTCCCCAATGTTACGAAAGGAGTTGCTCCTGCGCAATGATCAGTCCAACGCGGGGTGCTCTTGCGCATGATCAAAAAGTCACTTTGAAGTATAGCGTTATAGCTCCCGATGTAATTATCTATCTATACTAATATGTAAAGCTGAAAAGTCTGTGTTTGTATGTTTGAACGCGCTACTCTCAGTAACTACTGGTTCGAATTAAAAAAAACAGTGGGAAATGTTGAAAAAAAAAACGGAAATAATGCTTCACCTTGCGTGTACTGCGAAAACGGTTTAAGATATTAAAAAAATATATATTAAGGATGACCTCTAACATTTAGGGGGATGAAAAATAGATGTTGGCCGGTTCTCATGGATACCGGAAAACAGCCACAAAAATTTCATCAAAATCGGTCAAGCCGTTTCGGAGGAGTATGGCAACGAAAACTGTGACATGAGAATTTTATATATTAGATGCCCAAAATAACTATTCTACGCGGATGAAGTCGCGGCCACAGCTCGTATAGACCATTTATATTTAGTAATTGTTGTTTAATGGCTAAGTCAGTGTCGGCAGCGAGGGTTCCGTAGCGACGTTAGTTGGGCAAAGATAGAACGCAACAAACGACGCTCGCGAAGAATCAACCAATCAAATCAATGAAAAGTTAGACCAACGTGCCAGTAAAGATACATATTATAGATAGATGGCGTTGTAGCGACCCTAATACAAGTGCACAGGACATCTGGAGACGTGTGCATGGTACCTTCAGTGGCTGGAACCGAGGCGAGAGCGACGCTACTCGCCTATCGAGTGCTGGCGCCAGTAGTAGTGTTGCAAGTGTTGCCTTGTTTGGGAGATAAACATAAGCATTGTAAGTTCATATATTTTTTTTAAATATAGAGGACAGACAAGCAAGGGGCTCGTTTGATTGGAGGTGAAATATCGCAGGCATATGATTTAAAGAAGGTGCGCTGTCGGCCTATTTTGGCTTTGGATATTCGGATGTAATGTTTTCTTTATACATAATACAAGATAGCACACCTATTATGTATTATGTATAATTATGATAGTCAGTGACACCTGCGTTACGTAACGCATTGGTGATAAAACCACACTAGTAAAAGAAGCGTATTGCCCTATGTTAGTTAAGCACTGAAGTATTTTCTTACTAAATTTGTAAGTCTACAGGTTTAGACAAGTACAATACAATTTTAGGCCTGTAATGGACATCAAGAGGGGGGGCTTATTAAGTCGGTTTTAGGTTCGAATCCCGCCTGCATCATTATTTTTGAATCTGAATATATTTATTGAACATTGTTTACATGTTGAACATTGTCTTTGGCTTACGCGAGTTACATTACAGCACTTTTAACTGTTTAAAACGTGTATTTTTAAATATTTGAAAAAAAAAACAAATTTGTAATAAAAAAACCCCCTACTATCCGACGTCAGATGTATTAGCGAATATTTCGCGTTTTAAGCCGTTTATGTTCCTGTACCTACTTAACATGTAACAGGTAAGGTTTGCTCCATGGACACAAACGAGCGAAAGAACTGCGCTGTGCTTAGACCAAGCTTTGCCCTAACAGCTGGTTTTAGAAGCTGCTACCGTCTCAGGTGCGCTAACTTAACCCCCCCTACCGACAACGGTCAAGTGGAGGAAACCGCTTGGTAAGTTTACTTATTGCATGTCTTTAGGATGACAAAATTCAAAGTTTATACTTCCGTCGGACTCACCTACTCCAGCGTCGCATTCTCTCCCCCCCTCCAAGACACTTCACATCCTCCAGATTTAGAAACGGCGGTTCAGTCCCAGGGATACATTATTGTTTCGGCCGGGCAGGGCACAGAAGTCTGATCAACTACTTGCCTGTTAAGGAACGGATCAATGAAACGGACACGGAAATGCGTTCACCCCATGCCCCACGACGGGGAAACGGGCTTTCACTTTTTTTACGTTTTGCTGACTGTAACTGTCTTTATCTGTGGATGGTGGATCGGGTGACCCGGACGGAATTTCAATATTCCCTCCACGCATTTAATATCCAGAAAACTGATTTTAGAAATGTATTGGGCCCGTTACTGTTGATTATTAGAGATTCATCGCTACCATAATAGAAGCCTGTCAGTTGGAGCCATGTATGATAAGGGAGTACAGGCAAGCTAGGGAATCACTTGGTACGTGAAACACGCCAGCCATATTACATCTAAACAAGATGCCCTGAACACTGTCTGTAGTTTACGCGAGTTGTATACATTTAAATACTTTAACGGTTTAAAACGAGATATATGTATAATACTTTAAATAATTTTCAAATAAGTTTAACTAATATATGTCGCGTTTTAATTCGTTGTGTGTTTTAGTTGAATGTCTACTACTCGCGTAAACTATAGACAAATTATTTTCAAATGGTTAACTAATATATATGGCGTTTTAAACGTTAAAGTGTTTTATTTTAATTGTTTACTTCAGGCAGTATTTATTTATTTTACAGTTTAGTTATTTTAGGTAGTGGTGTGTGCGCTAACCTATTTTGGCTATAAAGAAACTTTTTGTAACATATTTCAATCTTCCGAGTCTAAAATAAGATTTGCTATTATAACGGCGTTTATGATATTTCTTTCAGTAGGTTTTGTAAAGGTCACCGTTAATTTTCAGAGGGCGAGGACAATCTGAGAGTTATATTTCTGCCGAACGACTTTGATCTTCGCGGTCACAGCTCTATCGAAATACAAGTAAGATAAATTCAGTTTCATACAATACATAACAATTCGTAGTGGGCTGCAAATTCAACGCTTTTAACGGTTTAAAACGCAAAACGTAATAATATTTAAACTTCAATGAAATTTTTTCAAAGTATTTTCGATTTTTAATCTATATAATGCCTTCACGTGCGTAAATAACACGTAAAATATCAAAGTTTTCAAACGCTATAACTTTGTAATCTCATTTTCAAGGATTTTCTTAAGCTGCAAAGCATAAAAAATCTAACCTTAATTCGCAAGTGTTAAGGTTGAAATTACATTGCGCGAGTGGTGTATGTATCAATAAGTTCAAATTCGACGATGAGGTGTGGAACTCATTAGCTCAGTGTAGAGCAATAGTACGAAACTAACGGTGTCGGTTCGAGTCCTGCCCGGGTCGAAAACTTTTTTTTCAATTTTTTAATCTATACTCATATATAAAGCTGAAGAGTTTGTTTCCTTGTTTGTTCGAACGCGCTAATCTCAGGTACTGATGGTTCCTGATTTTGTTTTTTTTCTTTTTTTAACGGGGGGGGCCCCCCCCCCCCCCCCCCCTTTTTTTTTTTTTTTTTTTTTTTTCCCCCCCCCCCCCGGGGGGGTTTTTCCCCCCCTCTTTTTTTTTTTTTTGGGGTTTGTTTCCTGAAAATGAATAAATTATTATTTTTTTATTTAATCTATGATGGATATAAGGGGAATTACAAAGAAACACGCCCCGCATTGTGGTGGTTAAAAATATATGTCTAACGCATCACCATCACCACGGCAACTACTAAACATCATCGCTATCATCATCTTCACCATATTAATAATTTAAATAAGATATTTTAATAGGTAGTGTTGGACCCTCGGAAGGTGGCTCGTAGAAGAATTTACAGCGTTCACGCTGATGTCACCCACGCGTATAAACCCGTCCACTTGCTCATTGATGCTGCTATTTCGGTAAGCCTGTTGAATTTTAAGGAATCCAAATAGCATTCAAGTAAGACACTTTAACGGTTTGAAACGTGACATATTTTTTCATTGCTCTTCTGCACACAATATCTGTTTTTTACGAGATCTTACTAAACACAGTGCATTATTTAAAAATATCTTTAACTGTCATCTCTCCTTGCACGTTTCCATAAAATATCTGTTTATCACGACACTAGCGGCACGTCCCGGCTTCGCACGAGTAGACATTTATAGAGGTACAGATATTTATATTAAATGCAGGCTAATTAGAACAACCTTGAATCACTAAATTAGAAAAAAATTGTATTGCGCGTCCTAGCTTCTTGTTAGCGTTTGTTGTCTAGCTCGCTGTGTCAGGAGCCGCTGCGAGCGTTCAGTGTTAGAGTCCCGTGCAAAGTGTGATTCCTTATACTAAAACTAAGTAGCTTTGAAAATAACTTTTGAAGTAAAGCAAAAAAATGTTAAATATTGTCTATAGTTTACGCGTGTAGTACACATTTAAATAAAACACCTTAACGGTTTAAAACGCGATATATTAGTTAAACTTATTTGAAAAACGTCGGGCCGTAGTTAAAAATCATTTTCAAACAAGTTTAACTAATACATCGCGTTATAAACCGTTAAAGTGTTTTATTCAAAAAAATGTTTTAAAAAAATCTAAATATTCAATGTCCTTCGCGGCCACTGTAAAATAAAATTTCACATATAATGAGTATGTGAACTTTATTTTACATGAAAGATTTCAGTATTGTTTATTGTTTACGCGGGCATGACACGTTCTAATCACTTCTTAACGGTTTATAACACGAAATGTTTTTTTACAATTAATCGTATAGCATCCGGTACGTCGAGCCGTAGTTTCTAATCAATTTATAATCTAAAAACTTTTTGGACATCTCTAAATTTAGATATCAACATATATCCAATATAGAAATGCACAGTACGGTTGTAGGAATAACGAAATTCTGTCCGGGTCACGAATCGCCGTGCACAGATGAAAAAGCCATGAAGTTTAATCGCGTTATGGTCTGTTAATTTTCGATTATCCAAATATATATGATGGCGCATCGCCGTTTAAGAGTGCCTAGAAACGTCAACTGTCACCTGACATTTGACAATGTCACTTTGACGGAGTGCCATTGACGTTTACGTCATTCTGACACAACTCCGGGCTCTTTTGTGTGTGATGGGGCAATAGGAAGAATCCGTTGACATCTCGCGTAAAACAAAGCGTGCCCGGTGGAGTGCCGTTACTAATTAGAATAACCATAGTGTAGATTATAATAGTGTCCATCTTTTGTTAATATCAATATTAGAACCGCTGATTCGAAAAGTGGTTTTTGTTCTCCTCGCCTACCCAATCGCTCGACAATCATTAGAGACGACGACGGATGAGAATAATGATCATGTGCCTTTATATATATATATCCTATAAAGGTCGGCTTAGAAGTTATATGCCTATAGTATTTCACCTACCATCAAGGTAACCCCACACTATCCTCTGTCCTCTATCATTAAAAATTGGTCGTGTTGATGAATAGAATTCGAGTTTCGAACAAAACAAGACAAAGCCGAGTTCGGTTTTTACTCATATCACCTTATAAATCTTGGTCGTCGGGCCATTAATTTCACTTAACGTCAGGATTTTATCCTTGTCGCCAAATCGGGATTACATCCCGGGATAGACTTATCGCTAATGTAATTGATATTAAATGGAAATGTGGCGATAGCGCTGATCGTACTGTACCAATGATATATGTAATTGATTTTCAAATTAAAATTCAAATTTTAATTTGAAAATCAATTAACTTACGAGCTGTGTCAGCGAATTCGGCCGCGAGAATCTTTATTTTGGGAATCCAAATTCGTTTTTGTAAACCGCATCATCTTTATAAACTTACGACGTCGGTCGCGTCCTTCCCGTCATTCTTGTAAGTAAACCATAATGGCCGATTCACACTCTCTACGAGGCGATACGGTGCGCTCGTGTCCCCTCGCCTCGCCTCTCTAGCGCTCCGCTTTCTGTCGGTATTTCGAGCGCGAGTCAAAGGACGCGAGAGCGTGAGGCGAGGAAGTCAACCACACTCTCCCGCTCGCTTACTAATTTGTTGACTGCTGCCGTCCATCTTGCACTAGGCGCAACGACTAACTATATAAAATGGAGAGTGTGGATGACTAGCACTCGTGCAGTCTCCGCTCGCCAAGACTCGTGGCGAGAGCCTCTAGGAGCCGCCTCGCGAGAGTCTGGAGCCGGCATAAAAGATAGACATAGGGACGTGGACTTTTTTTACAACATTCAAAGAGGATATTTTGTACATTGTTTTTACATGTCTTAAACCGTTTCCGCCGCGTACGCAACGATATCCCACAAGGATGAACAATTTTTCCCGGTAATTCCACATTTCCCGCTGTATCTTCGCTTGTTTTAGTCACAGGACGATATCTTATAGCCTATAGCCTTCCTCGATAAATGTTCTAACCGACCCAAAAATAAGTTTTCGACTCGCACTAAAAGTTCCAGAGATTAGCGCGTTCAAACAAACAAACTCTTCAGCTTTATATATTAGTATAGAATCTTATCGATTTCCGTTTTTCCTTACAGGGCTTGGAAGTTGTAGTGGACATACCAACTGGTGATGGTGTAAAAACTGATTCCTTCTTCAGCATCAAAATGATGGAGGTATTTACCAGTCCGCGTAGATTATAAGCCTTTGGCGCAAGAATGGTCTCGATGTTTCACTTACAACTTACGAACACACGTTATATGACGCCGCTAGAGACAGAGTAGCCTAACCGCAATTTTATGACTTGAATTATTTATATTCTCATAGTGTAAAAATGTTAATCTACGAGAGCCCATTGACCGAAAGTGGTTAACAAAATGTTTACGCAAATAATAGTACAAAAAAAAAAAATATTCCCTAAGTCAATTGCGTAGTTTTATTTTCCTCGATTGAAAATCATGTTTTTTGCTATAAGGGCACTCTGCCTCTCGCAGCCAATTTATAACCTCACGGAAAATATAACTAGCAGGATCTATAATTTTTAAACAGAGTGAGGGGCAATTAATCGCTCGCGAGCCGTTATATACAGTGGTTGAGGCAAATGAACTGAATTAAGATAATCCTTTTATTAATTCAACAAAATACAAATACCTAAAAGTGTCTATAGTTTACGCGGGTAGTACACATTTAAATAAAATACTTTTACGGTTTAAAACGCGATATATTAGTTAAACTTACTTGAAAATGATTTTTAACTTCGGCCCGACGTTTCAGATGCTTTGCAGCAGCCGTGGTCACGGGGAGACTCAAATAAGTTTAACTACGTTTAACGCGCTTCAAACCGTTCAAATGTTTTATTTAAGTACCTAAAAGACTAAGAAGTATTTCGAATAAAATTTTTTATACGAAACATTTGACGGTTTAAAACGCGCAAAATGTAACTTTCAACTTATTTACAAATTGTTTTAACTACGGTCCGACATTTCGGATGCTTTTCAGCAGCTGTGGTTCCAAGGAGATTTTAACTGATACATTTCGCGTTTTAAACCGTTAAAAGTGTTGAAACACATTTATCATAATTAAAACTTGATTATATATAACAGCTACAATCTTCCGTGCTGTGCTGTACTAACCAATTGAGCTATCGAGTCAGTTAGTTAGAGAAACAGCACAGAACGCTGTGGTTGTCGGTTCAAGTCCTGCCTGATTTTTAATTTATATATTGCCATCATATGAAAAATATCAAACATGTTGAATACCGTCTATAGTTTACGCGAGTAGTACACATTTAAATAAAACACTTTAACGGTTTAAAACGCGATATATTAGTTAAACTTATTTGAAAATGTTTTTTTGCTGCTGCAAAGCATCCGAAACGTCGGGCCGAAGTTAAAAATCATTTTCAAATAAGTTTAAATAATATATCGCGTTTTAAACCGTTAAAGTGTTTTATTTAAATATTAAATGTGTTGTTTTCAAACAGTCACATCGTTTAAGAAACACCCACACAGAGGAGATTAAAAAGGGAATTCTTGTTGGCGAAGCCATAAAGAGATACAGTGACACCTGTTGAGGCCATTAAGTCCTTAATAACTTTAGGAGGTCCCTTTACATTGCAACTGTTATTTAAAAAAAGTGTTGCCCGCGCTAAATTGTCAGGCTCGTCGGCCTAATGGTAGCAATGTATTTACTTATTTATAAAAGGCTTACCAAGTACATACATATTTTAATAAAACACTTTAACTGTTTAAAACTTATGCTTTATATACTTTGCAGCAGCCATGAAAATATTTTTTTTTTAATTTGTAAATTACATTTGTCTGTAGTTAAATTTTTTACTCATAATGTTTATTTTAATATTTATTTAATTAAGTTAGGGAAGTGCATACCTTTAAGTTCGATGTTGTAATTTTAAATAAAACACTTTAACCGTTTAAAACGAGAAAAAAATATAAGTAATAATTATTTACAAATTATTTCAACTTGCCCGATGCTTTGCAGCCGTGGTCACAAGGAGACTTTAACTGGTACGCTGTTGACCTATTTCGGCTTTGAACAATCGAAGATTACTTACGAAGAGAATTCCGAGTAAACTCATACATCGTTACACCGTAATATTCCATTACAGTATACACAATTACGTAAATTGGATATATCTAGACGTTGTTTTGCACTCTACGTGTAACGGCTTTCCAGGGGTCAGGGGTCGATTCACAAACGAGTGATAAGACTAGCGTCGACATAAGTCGCAAGCTATGTCAGATTTTTACGAAGGCGGCGACAACAGAAGTTCAGCATTGATTTTTTATGATAAAAAAGGACACACAGGTCTAACATCTAACATCTAAACATGATGCGCTGTCTGATTTTGGGCTTTGGACATTTGGAAATTTGGAAAACTGTAACGCGATTAAACTTCAGGGCTTCGTCGGTAGAGTTACGATTCGACCAACAAAAAAATGTGAGCCGTCACGGGACGCCTGGCAGATGTGAAACATCGCCATTATTTTGTAAAAGTAATGTGCAGAAAAGAACATATTGTGATAGGAACTAAGCATGGCGACGCGTCGCCACACCGTACACACTACTGCATATAGACTGTATATATATACCATCGTATAGCGTGGCGACGCGTCGCCACGGCATGCGTCGCCACGCCAGAAATCGGTTTTACGTGCGGCTATAGATGTTTCACATCAAAAAATCAAACAATTTTCAGATAATGTATAAATTGATTGGGTTAGGTTGGATCTGGTGAGGATAGAATCCTCGACCCGTTGATATTATATGATATATCCGTGAATTGCTGCCATTATATCAACGTGACACTAAAAATTATCCGGACTAAGGGGGGATGATGTGGGTGTTCGGACTATGACGAAATACTGATTTTATGACTAGGTACTGCAGTTCACGCAATAAGAGAACATTTATCTAAACACTTTTTTTTAATGATACACTTTAACGGTTTAAAACGCGATATATATTAGTTGAACTTATTTGAAAATTATTTTGGTTGCTTTGCAGCAGCCGTGGTCACGGAGAGACAATTTTTTTTACAATTTTTATTTTAGCATGGCAATGTAATTTTGTGAAAGCTTTTCATAAAAGTGCTTGGATACTTTGTTATAGGCCCATGTTGTGTGGCTTGAAATGTATGCTTATTGTAAATCATAGTATCTTTTAGCCTTTAATTTACCTTTTTTTTAGTATTCATACAGTGATAAGTCGACAGCGATAAGCGATTGTTCCGACACTTTATGTATCACCGAATTTAGAATTGCTACCCTAGCTGATATAATATTACATTTTCATCTCGGGTGCTAAATTTAAAACTCACCATTGTTATTTATCGTAAAATCTTACGTTTGATAAATTGACAGTTTTAAATTCTGCTTTTCTAATAGAATTTTTATGCATCGTATAGGCAAACGGTCCCAGGTTCAAATCTCGTAAAACACTAACCGCACGGTTGATATTAAAATAAAGTTAAACTAATATAAAAACTGTCTATAGTTTACGCGAGTAGTACATATTTAAATAAAACACTTTAACGGTTTAAAACGCGATATATTAGTTAAACTTATTTGAAAATGATTTTTAACTTCGGCCCGACGTTTCGGATGCTTTGCAGCTGCAGTCTCCCCGTGACCACGGTTTTAAACCGTTAAAGTGTTTTATTTAAATTAAAGTAATATTATAAATAAAAAGAAAGCCATAAACTACGGCTCCACGTTTCGGGCTTTGCATTAGCCGTGGTCACGGGGGGCCTCAAGATGGAGGGTGTCAAAGTGAAACTGCTAGTAATTTATAAAGATGTCAAAGTTATGCCAAAATCGAATTTCGATGCCTAAAATAACTGTTCTACGCCAGCGATGTTGCGGTTACAGCTAATCACTACGAAGTCCCTTTTTCCGTCCTTATGTGCGCCTAAATCTTTATAACTAACTGATTTTATTGCGGTTTTTAATAGATAGAGTGATTCAAGAGGAACGTTTATATGTTTAACAACATTAATTGGATAGTGGGGAAGGACTGTTATTTTTGACGTTTTTAATGTTATGCATTGCAAACACAGTCTGAAAACGCTTTAACGGTTTAAAACGCGATATATTTTAGTTAAACTTTTAACTACGGCTCCACGTTTCGGATGCTTTGCAGCAGCCGTGGTCACGGGGAGACACAACAAGATTTATCAAATAAATAATGTACTGTACACATTAAAAAGGTCTACAAAAAACTCCACGATGGTATATGTCTATCCCATATGAACATCCCACAATAACATTTTTTTAACACTTTACGACAAATAATGGCTAATTTTCGAAGCGATTTTAATAATTATAAATACATTGTTGATTAATTATACATTTGAAAGTTTAAATATATTTTTTTGCTGTGCGGTAGTACCGGCCGAAAGGGGCGGAGCATGCTTCAGAATATATCAATTTTAATTATCTTATACCCGTGCAAAGCCGAGAGCAGGCTGCCATGTTTTTAAAGCTTTTCTGTGTATTAAGTATCAGAACTGCGCCAGAGCGAAGCCGGGGCGGGTCGCTAGATTATATAACAGAGTATGAAAAACTAGATGACACCAAAATGTCGCTAAATTCTTCACAGCTCCGCTGATTTTGCAAAAATATTAATAATGGGCGAGAGCTTAAAGCTTCTTTCGTTTCATCGTTAAAATCTTTTGTCGTATCTTTTGTTATCCCTGAACTAAAACAGCCGCGATTTAATCTTGGACACCCGCGAAGCAACATTTCATTTTTTCCTAATAACTTTTATATAATAGACGAGACAAGAATGGCGATCAAAATTAGGGGAAAGATTGCGTTTATGGCATTTTAAAATGCGCTCTTGGCCTATTTTAGGATTCAATGTCTAAATCATAAATTAGACAGAAAAGTTGAAGCATATACGTTTAACGTTTAACATATATCTAAAAAACGATACAGTATCGCGGACATGTTTATTAGATTATTAAAAAAAAGTTTTTTTGGGTACCTGAAGCCACATTCGATTTTTCACAGTCCTATTCTTTTATAGCCTAGCCTTTCTCGATAAATTGTCTAACAACACAAAAAATATTTTACAATTCACACTAGTAGTTACTGATATTAGTGTTCAAACACGGATACTATTTAAATAAAACACTTTAACGGTTTAAAACGCG